CCCCCCCCCCCCCCCCCCCAAAAAAAAAAAAAAATCTGTACACTTATCAAAGTTTAGCTGCTCCATCTTGTGGGCAATTGTGAAAAGCAGAAAAATACTGGAGGACTTCTGAAATAGTAGTATTCTGGGTCCAGAACATAAATTGCTATAAAACACCCTTTTTGTATCTCATCAAATGTTAACTTTAAATAGACTTGAGAATACAGAGCCTTAGTAGTTCATAACTGTAAAATTTCTTGTTTTTAAAATATCAAGGATGTAAAATTTAGAACTTTTTAAAAAACTAAATAGTCTATAAATTATTTCAGGTTAGCTTAGAGAAAATGAAATAGAATCAGCATGGCTATTATGAAGCGAGTTCTTGTGCAGATCTACTTTCAACTGGTTTTTTTCAATATTAATCGTTTGAAATTATGCTTTGTTTTATCTTCTGTAAATTGAGGTGTGGCAAAACCACGATAATAATAGTTTAGGTTTTGATTTCAAGACTCTGTATTTAAAGGTAGCATAACATCTTTCTTCTACATCACTGAGGTTCATCAGTACCTAAGCTTTAATCTAATTTTGTAAGACATGGCTTGTGATCCTGCTGTTCAAATACCTCTGCTCTAACTCTCAGTATGGCAGTTTTAATTAAAAGATTTCAAGTAGTAAACTTTCACATTACTATTAAGCTCGCTCATGTAGTCAGAGTTTTAGCTTCACACTTGTTGAAATCAAGGGCTGTGCCCAAACAGTGTTACACTGTGCTCTTTGTGTATTTTATATCCTCAAATTGAAGGTAGTCTTTAAAGGGTAGTTTTTGTGGGAATAAATATTTTTCTAAAAGTGAAGACTTTTTAAAAGAGCTAATCTAGTTCATTCTTTAGTGAAAGCTATTCTGTTACTTGAAAAAAGCTCAGTAGAGGTGAGACCTAAAATCTACTAGAAACTGCTAATAAGAACCATAAATGTGAGGACTACATCTCATTTTTTTCATAATTAATTTTTGGGCAGGGCACAGTTTGGGTTGTTTGTTTTTTTTCTTACACCATTCTCATGAGAATAAAACTCTCCTGTCAGGAACAGGAGACACAATTTTAAGAAATGCTACTTTATAGATGTGATTTAAAAGAAATTCTGGTTGACTGGCTTATCAGTAAAATCTTGTGCCAGTAACCTTTTTAAACGGATTTTAATCTCTAGTTTAAGGTGATCTTTTTCTATTCTGCAGGTGAGCCAGGAGGATGAAATAGGGAGATGCTGGTAGATCAAATTCTTTATAATGTAATTTATTAGCGGAGTTTGCACAAAGTAACTTGAACGGATATTCTGAGAAGGGAAGACATAAAATAAATAGAAAAATTGTCCAATGCAGTCTTATACCTATAGGCATGTTTCATGTTAACTGTCAAGTATACTCGGGTGACGGAGCAGATACCTGTACTGCCACTCTTGCACTGTAGGGCTTTTTCTAGTGGTGGGAGCCTAATGTACTTCAAATTACCAAGGTTTAAAAAAAAAAAAAAAGTGTGTATTTTTAAATAAATATATCCTGATTCCAGTTAATTCTACTCCTTTTTGAGGGACTCAAAATTAGATCTCTGATACTGATGTATTGGTAACATCACTCCATTTATATATAATGTATTCGACTAAAACAGGCGCTTGGATTAGTAACCTCTGTCCTCCATGTAGTTAGTGGAGTCTCTGTAGGAGACTGCCTACAGCCCAGCCTGTAATGCACGGGTAGGGATCTGTCTACCACCTGGACAGGGAAGGTGTGGCATAAATTACATGTCTTCCTAATTGCATTTATGAAGGTCGTGTGTGCAGAAGCAGTAATATGTAATTCATAGTAGTGTAGATGAAACAGTTTTTCTATTCCCTCATATTTTTGTGGTCAGGTCATCTTGTGCTGTGAAAATGATTAGCTTAATTCTTGTTTTTCTTAACAGGGAAGGAAGACACTCCATCGTTGCTTGGTCTTTGTGGCTCTCTTACTTCAGTAGCAAGCTACAAATCTCTCACGAGTCTGAAATCAAGTGAATATCTTGCAAGTCCCACAACAGAGATGACAAGTCCAGGCTTAACACCATCTTGAGATACACACAAGAAGGAAGAGCTTTGTGTTGTATGCATTTGGTTTATGTTCCATAAAATGACTTGCAATGAAGACTGCTAGTTCTAAGTTAAAAAATAAGCTGCTTTATTTTTTCTTTTCATGGTTACCTGCTTAAAAATTCACAAATTCTGTCAGTTTTCATTCAAACATTTTTTTCCCCCCAGAGGACTTTTCAGATTTGCTATTTTAGTCTTGAATTATTTAAAGCTCTTGGTCAGGTACAGGATGTATAATCTGATGCTTATGACTGATTTTTAAAATGAAACAGATGGAAATCAGTCCCCCACTTAACTGCCGTGACCTTCGTTTCTCCTTGCAATGGCCTGGCCCTACTCTAGCCACGGTGCTTCTCTGCAGTGCTTTAAATATCTATCAACTCTTGCAGAACAGACAGGGAATCCTGAACACCAGTCTTTGTAGGCAAGTAAAGATTTTGCCTAAAAATCCAGCTTTTCATCTGTGTATGTTGCATAGGACCTCGAATAGCATATTTAACCTATCGACAGCTCTCCTCAAGTTGACTCAGTGTTAGATTTTGCATTCCTGTTAGTATCATGGCACTTAGATGTCTGAATCGCACTGAAGAATCACACTGAAACACTAATTCTTGCAGTTGCATGTGAAAAACAAATGTAAGTTGATCATGTAAATCAAGCATACTTAGCAATTTGTAAATGTTGAGGAAACTCACTGAATGCTTTTGAGTGACCTGAGTTACAGATAATCAAACATTATATGAGAAATTTCTTGGTTTATTGGCCTTGCTGGAAAGATGGGGACTAAGGATGGTGAGGTTAGCACCTTGGGAAGTTTGGATTGTGTGTTTATTGGCAAGATCCTGAGGAGAGTGAAAAAGGGGAAACAAAGACAATACAATGACAATATTCTCATGTTAAAGGTTTTTCTCATTCCTGTAGTAGTGCAATAGGTATTTTTCTTGATTAGGTAATACAGCAGAACTTCTTTAAGTGAGTTTTCTCAAATTACTTGCCATTGATTTAAATTACTGATAGAAAAAAAAAGTGAGACATTTTTTAAATGAAACTAACTTTCCAGATTACCCTACAGTTCCAAAGTTTGCAAATTAATTTTTGAATTGCAAACTATATTCTTAATTCTTTGTAAGATACAATTTTGCTAATCAAGGTAATGCTTAACAGTATGATTAGTAACTTTTTAAACAAGACTTAAATGCATGTAAGTACCTTGTATTTATAAGTGCTAGGGAAAATGCTTTTTTGTGCCAAAGAAGTTTCATAAATTGTTTACATGAGTAGCTGCAATACAAGACAGATTTTTAATTATTGCTTACTCTTAGGTGTTTACAGTATGTCACAACACTCTATGGTTTTAGTTTATTTGCCTCTTGTAATGGTACCTTGGCACTACTACTATAGTCTGGTCATCTTAGGGTGGGCTTGAAAGAAAGAGGATTCATTTTTACCTTTATTAAAAACTACAGGAAATGTTTAGCCTTTCTAAGTATGAGGCTACACACCTCTGGAACTCAACGCACTGTTGGATTTAGCTGGAGGAGGTTCAAGATGCATCTCCTCAACTCTCTAGTCCACAGTGCTGGAGGTTACTCCATCCATGGCAGGGTAAACAACTACTGATGCCATTTTACTGCAGATTTTTAAAGCAGCCTAGCAAAATCCACCAGAATTTGTCTTTCAAGCCCTCATGTACCCACTCAGTTAATTTCTCTGTAATAAACTCTGACCATTAAATCCTTTCATACACTGTCAGAATGGCCATTACTTCATGTAACTTTTTTTTTGTTGTCACATTGAGCACCTGTTCTCTCATGGCAGTTGAGTAACATTATTAAATAATAATTTGTAAACTAGAGATGCATTTTTACTACAAATACAGTGAGTGAATCCGAATTCCACAAGTTAACATTCTACATCAAGGTACATCAAGATTTAATCGGTCTTGTTTGCTGTTGAACACTTCTACATCCCACTACATCAGTATTTTGGAGGGGCCTATAATCATGATCTTCAGTCATGTTCGCTGATGGCTCTTTTCTTGGAGCTACTGGTGTGAACTTCATATGTCATTTAACTGAAGTCTTTTATGTAGTCTGACACCATTGTGAGTTTCCGGGTGTCATTTTGTGCATGGGAAATCAGTTATGTGTGTCTTTCTCAGTTAATTTTTAAAAAATTTGAAAAAATGCCAAAACTGTGTGTTTTGTTGCCTTGACATTCCATAAATGTTGCATGTAAATTAAACGTTTTGTATCATCGCTAATTACTAGTTTTTGTCTCTGTTTTAATCATGCAGGATAAAATAAGACCATTTGGCAAATTGCAGTGTTACTGAGCTTATAGCAAATTCTTTTCTTGCAGAACAGGGAGACTTTGGTTTTACTGCTGTATTTCATTCACTGTGGTCCAAAATCTGCCGTTACTACTTCCTCTCTCTTAGGCCTTGTTTTGTGGTTGTAGTGTAAAATTACTTGGAAAATCACAACGGGGGAACAGTGTCAAATATGACAGTACCTCTTGCCTGCACCGTATGCTGTAACCTTGTACCAAATGTCTTTACAACTAGAGCATTTTTCAGTGTGTGGTGAATTTTCACCAATGCCAAACACATGCTGCGATACCTTCTTCAGAGTACAATAGGACTGAAGTCTGTTTCTTGGTAAAGCTCACCCGAAAGTTGGTGTCTTAATGACCTGATTACCGAGTTGCTTTTGTAACAGCACACTCCCTCATTAAAATATACAAAGAATAAAATTCAACCACTTTATTGAAAATGCACAAAAAAAGGGAGGTAGTGAGGGTAGTTAAAAAATAATTTAAAAAAAAAAAAACATACAGAGGAAGCTCTGATTCAGTAAGTCAAGTGCCTGTGAGCAAGGGAGATGTTGCAACTGTTCGTACCACGTGTGTGCAGCACACTGTAGCAGACCACGGCTGCGTCTATAGTAGTAAACTAAATGTGCTCTTGCCTTTGGCTAGATACACGTCCGAGTCAAACTGGCATGGAACCACCTGTGTTTATGCCAGCAAACTTGGCCTTCAAAACCAGGTGATCCCATACAAACTGTGTATGGGGAATGCTCCCTGGCAGGCAGCTTGCACCTCCCCAGGCATGCAAGGGAGCGTTCCTCCAGAACACCTGTATAGGCAGTTGTCTTCAGCGCCTGGGTGTACTTTCATTTCTGAAGAGTATTACCTTAAACTAAAAAGCCACTGCAGCACCTATCAACATATTCACCATGCTCTCTGGGTTTCTAGTGAGCATGATCTACTTTCTCCAGTTTGATCTAAAGCATTTTTCATTTTAAATAAACCTGAGAAGAAGCCAAAGACTATTTTATAATATGCATTTACACAAAATACATAGCTGCAAATAACAAACATGCACAGAATTAAACACGTATTAAGCAAGAATAAATAAATGTTTATTGAATTCTATCAGCCTTGTTGTGGAGGAATAATCATATCGTACAGTTGGAAGCCCAAAGCATTTTCTAAACATCATTTCAAATACCCAACAAAAATCTTTAGTCAGACTGAAAATTAAAACAGTGACAGTGGTTATTCTTCATTGCTCTGTCCAGCCTCAATTTTTTTTACCTTTTCATCATCACTGAAGAACAGTCAGAGCACCTCTTTTTTATCTTTTTTTTTGTTCCCCCCCTTCTTTCCTTTTTTCTCTCTAGCTGCAAGAGAAGTCACAAAATCTTCAGAGATAGTTTAAGGGTCATGTGTATTTTCTTAGTCTTAACAAAAAAGAAAAAGTTAATTTATCCTTTTTGAAACAGTTAAAAATGAAGTTGTATTTAGTTATCAAATGTAATGGCAGAACTTCACTGGGAATTCTAGAAAATGCCTTGATAGATTCAAACTTCGCACAATATATTTCACCATATATTTTGACTTCACACAATCCGATGAAGGAGAATTAAGGGCGTTGGTTTGTTTTTTCATTTAAATGAGAAAAAAAAGACTTTCCGTATTCATACGTGCTGATCATTATGGCACAAGCAGGAGCAACTTTAAACAGCCGTGGAATAGCACCTGCCCAGAAAAGAAAGGGAAGTATTCACTATCATTTGTTTTCAGACTGAAGCAGACCAGCACTATTTAGTGGTCACCATATGCTGATACCATAGCGTATCAGTGTAGAACTGGGACTCTGCCTGTCCACATTCCTCAAAATACCAAAATTACTGGCTGTAGGTATTACCACCGTAATAACCACACGCGCTCACCTACACTCTCCTGGGTGGCCTGCCTGCCTCAAATCCATTGTGTCTCTGCCCCTTCTGTCTCTCCCCGGAGATGGAGCACCTTGACCTGCAGGGCTATGCTCTGGCCCTGGGGGCAGACTCTGTGCCCTCCCCTAAGGGTCAGCGCAAACTTGCCGCTCACCTGGGACAAGCAGAGGCTTGTGACCTCTCAGGTCAGACAACAAGAGGTTCAGGAAGCCCTGAATCCCGAAATGGATAAAGTTAGGGAGGAAAGGGCTCAAGTACCACACTGGGCTGTAGCCTCTGCTACAGGTATGCATCTCAGCCCTTCAAGCCAACTGTTGAGTAAAAAGTGTGATTCCCCTGCCACTGCCTCCCAAGACCTACAGCACTTTCACTAAACTGCAAAGATCCTAGTTATGTGTACAAACGATAGAATTTAGGCATTAAATATCTCCCATTATAATCAACTGTGATCATCAGTGGAGTTTAGAAAGGGATTCAGCTTACCTAGAGGTAGGAAAATCAGGCTGAATCCACTTGTCTACACACAACCATCTACCTCCACTTGAAATGCAAAGATGTCTGCATGGAGCTAGTACAGATGATGCATGACCTATGGAAAAATTGTGTCCCTTTGGAACAGTAGCAGGAAGCCAGGCAGAATAACCCCACGTCATCTCACCTATGTGTGGGTGACTGAACTGAGATAGCAGCTGATCAAGAGAACGCCTCTACACTCTGTTACTCACATGTCAAGACCTAAATGTAGGTATCGTAATCCATGAACTACACTCCACCCAAAATATGTAATAATACTGATACTTTGTAGTGTCATGCATTCTGCTAGCATCAGTGCTCTGAAACATGCAAACCCTCTTACCCGGTTATGTCATCACTGTACAGCACATAAAGCAATTTAATCTTTTTCAGCAAACACAAGTCTTGCAAGTCTTCAACTGTGTAGCCATTCACAAAGGGAATGCCAATGAACCCATGCAGTGCTGTCAATACTGGTAAGCATCTTGGGTTTGGAATGTCTCTTGCAGTTGTTCATTTAAGTATGAACTACTATGGGCTTTT